ATATATATATATATATATATATTTACATATATATATTTATATATATATATTTATTTATTTATATTTATATATATATATATATTTATATATATATATATATTCGCCAGTGCGTGCCACTAAACAACATCGCGCGTATAAAACACTTATATACGACCCTTTTCTCTCCCTCTCTATCCTTCTCTCGCGCTCTCTCACGCTTATTGCAGCCTCCGACGCTTAAGCTTAGGGTAACCGTGCCGCGCGTTTCGCTCCGTTTTTTTGTTGTTTCTTCCCTCTTCCCCTTCAACACAATTAGATCATTGCACAGAGAGAGAGCGACCGAGACCGACCGGGCCGCGGCGACCAACCGCGGCGGCGGAGCCGTTCGGGCTGTGTCGTTGCACAACAGCACGCAACGCGACGAGGAGAGAAGCCTGTCTTTTGTCGCAAAACGCGCGGACTCATCGCGATGAGAAGAATCGTCGCCGGGCCGGTCGCGCAAATTATTACTCATTCACCGACGACGGTGGCGACGGGCGGCTCCTTATCGCCGCGAAAACCGGAGAACAGTCGAGCGTAGTTGTCATCACACACGCACGCATGTACACATATACACACACACAGACGGAACGGTTCCCCCAGCCGCGTCTGAGAAAAATGCAACGATTGCGCAACCGGCGATGTGACGATCGTCGAAGGTGCTCTCTCGATCAATCGAACCAGGCTCCGCTCGTCGCGCGCGCTTGTTCTTGCTCTCGGTTCTCTCTTGTTTTCGCGAGCGACCAAGCCGTAATATTAGCGCGGCCCCAGAACGGACGTGCCTACGTGCACTGAAAGAAAAAAAGCGCTACATTCAAGTAAATATTTGCTAAGAAACGTCGGAGGAATTATTTCACCTGGATTATGTCAATATTGAATTCAGCATTTTTTTTTATTTTTTCCATGGTGTTGCTACATTCAAGTAATATTTACTCAATCCAAGTAAAATAATTATTCCGGCACACTTTGGCAAATATTTACTTGAACGTGGCACTTCTTTCTTCCAGTGTGTTCTTCTACACCGCGTTATGCACGCCTCACCATTCCCCGGATCAAAAGTTCACGATTTTTAGCCTTAAACGTATAGTGCATAAAGTCGAAAATCGCACAAGTGACTCCAGTTATAATGGTTGAGTTACAATGGCTCCAGTTACAATGGTTTCGACTTTATGCATACATGTGTAAGAAAAATCGCGCAATTCTCGGAGAGAAGTGATAACCTGGACTAAAAATCGCGCAATTCCCGGAGAGAAATGGTAGACCCAGACTAGCGCAAACTTCTAAAAAAAAAAAAAATCTTAAGATGTTCTATTTTTCTTTAGATGTTTCTTCAAGTGTCTTTAAGAGTTCTATCAGAAGTTTGTGCTACTTGGAAATACATATACACGATGCAGTGTGTACGTGCGCGACACGATAGTCTCCGAAATTGAGCAGAAAACCGGCCGATGAGACGTCGGGTTTGGTTTCTCGCCGTTAACGACGTCGCGTTAACGACGACTAACGCGAGTGCACGCACGCACGCACGCACGCACGCAGTTGTCGCGGTCGACACCCTTCCTTCCGTTCTCTTTCTCTCTTCCTTTCCTTCGTTCCCTTTCTCACTCACTCTCTCGCAAGAGAGAAAGAGACAGAGAGGGAGAGCAGCATTGGTCCTTTTCGCGGCCGTGCAGAAGAAGTCGGCTTTCGTTCGTTCGCTCGCTCTTCCTTAAGTCTATCAGTGATATATTACAATAATAATTACATACATAATACTATTCGCGTATAATAAAATATCTGTTTAACGGCCACCGCAGTCGCTCGCTCGCTCGTTCTCGCTCGCGGACGGCGAAATCTTCTCTCGGGGAAAGAAGAGTCGACCTTGAAGAAGAAGAAGCGTCTTCCCCGTGGTCGTCGTCGTCGACACGCGCGTGTCCTTGTGTCGCCTCGCGAGGGACTCAGCCTTGGCGGGATCCGCGCAGCGGTGTGCGAGCGTCAAGGTCGCTCGAAGCGGCCGTCCCCGACGAAGAGCGGGCCCGGACGCGGCGGCGGTCGCGAGGTGAACACACACACCTCGCAGGACTGTACGTGCACACACGCGCGCGCACATAGCACACGGAACACACACAGAACACGCGCGCACGCGTGCGTCTCCCGCGTCACCTGGCGCGCGCCTCCTCCTCTTCGAGTACATGTGATTACATAGTTCGTTCCGCGGGGCCGGCGGCGGCGAGACTTTTGATTAAGTATTAGAGGACGCTGCAACAGCAGTAGGTCTTCTTCTCCTTCTCGGGGCTGAAGTTCATCTCGCGCACGATCTCCGCGAACATCTCGTTGACGTTGGTGCGGTTCTTGGCGGAGGCCTCGACGAACGGGCAGCCCCACATCTGGGCGAGAGCGTTGCCCTCGGCGGTGTCGACCTCGCGCTGGTGTTCAAGGTCGAGCTTGTTCGCCACCAGCAGCACCGGCACCCGCTCGGTGCCCTTGACGCGCGTGATTAGCTCCTTCATCGCCTTGATGTCTTGGAAGGTCTGGTGGTTCGTCAGGCTGTACACCACGACGAAGCCCTGGCCGTTCTTGATGTACAGGTCGCGCATACTGGCGAACTGCTCGGTGCCGGCGGTGTCGAGGATCTCGAGCACGCACGGCGAGTTGTCCACCTCGATCTCCTTGCGATAGAAGTCCTCGATGGTGGGGTCATACTTCTCCATGAAGCAGCCGGAGACGAACTGTACGGTGAGAGCGCTCTTACCCACCCCGCCCGAGCCGAGGACGACTACCTTGAACTCGCGCATCTCCGTCGTCCTGACGTCGCGGCCAACGTCCCCGTCGTCGTCCTCGTGGTCGCCGTGGTAGTCGTCGCCGACTCCGCGACGCCGCCTTCCTCTGCGCCGCGACGTGTCCAGGACACCAGGGTACGGAGGAGCAACAGAAGGAAGAGAAAGACACGCACGCACACGCGAACGGGTAGACAGCAGGGGGGGGAGAGAGAGAGACACACACACACACACAGGACGACGCACAATCACCGAGTAAGACAGAGAGACGGTGAAGCACACGCGATTATCGCGTTCTCTCGCTCACACTCGGCGCGGCCGCTGCTACAAGCACCAGCAGCAGCTCCTCTGTCGTCGTCGTCCTCCTCCTCCTCGCCGTCGTCCACCTCCTCTTCGTCGTCGTCCTCCTTCTCCTGCTTCTCGTGGTCGCGGAGAGTCGTCGCAGCGCTCGCTCCTCAAAGGAAGCCTCGCCTTCCTCTTGGTGTGCTCGCGACGACACGAATCGCCCGGCCCGTATCGTGCTGGCGGCGACGGCGGCGAACAAAGGCATCGGACGCTGGCTGCTACCAGGGAGGTGAGATTTACCTGTGGGCCTCACCGTCACCAGGCAGAACTGGACGATATCAGGCGTGAAGCCTCGCGTTGCTGCGAACTGGCTGCCGCCCTGCCGAGCACCCGATCACGACGACCACGGTGGCGATACGACGACGGTGGTGGTGACTGCGCCAAGAGGACATGACGAAACTCACTCACTCACTTCGCTCGTTCGCTCGCTCGCGTGCACTCGGCGCTGCGAAACGCCACCACGCACACAGCAACATACACCACACGTCCCGTCTTGTCTCTTCGTCTTCGTGCCTGCCTGGCTGCGCCTCTCTACCTCCTCTTCTTCCTGCCTGGCCGCTGCCCCTCACTTCTTCTCGCCCTGGTCTGACGTGCGCGACGACGCCATCTTATCGCGACTCCGCTCCGCTCAGCTCAGCTCCGCTCCGCTCGGCTCCGCCGCTCGCTCTCTTTCTCTCCCTGGCTCAGTCTGTCTTCGTCGTGAACGTCGCGATCGGAACGAGAACATCGACTGTGAGTGACTGTGCACCGCTGACTGGCGAGCTTATGCGAGTCGCCCTTGCGAGGCCCGTGCGGAGCGCCCTCTCTGCTCCTGTTCGTGGAAATGTGCACTTCGCCTGGTTTTCCGCACTTTTCGGAGGATCGAGCGTCAGCGGGAGAGAGAGGGACGACTCGAGGGAAAGTGCAGACGGCGGCGCCGCTGAGAGGAACGCACGTCCGGCGTCAAGGCGCGTTTTCAACGGGAGAGCGTTGTCGGCTGCTCGTTCTCCGAGTGAGATGGACCGAAACTCGCGGAAGATTCTGCTTTCGAGTGGCTACGGAGAAATAGTGAGGCGGTGAAAGTTGAACGATAAGCGAATTGATCCGTCATCACAGCCGACAATTTCGGCACAGCTTCGCTTTTCCGAACATTCTCGAGCGTGATTGGTCAAGTCGCTTATTACTCAGGTTTTAGAGTGATTCTCGTCAAATTTAGGTTATCGATCACATAACTTCTCCCTAGAGTGGAAACGTGAGAGGTATACATTTTCTAATTCGAAAATATTTTGACTTTTCACGTTTTCGCTTTAGAGAAAAGTTGTATGACCGATAAACTGATTTAACTAATCGATAAATAATAAAAAAATTGCCAACACCGATCTCTGTACACTAGCAGCACAACTCATTGGTGATACATTAGTTCAATATTGGCATTCATTGGCGGTACATTGAATGAATGTTGCCCAATATAAAATCAGCCAGACAATCCAACCTGTAAGAACAGATTTTACGTGGTAAGATGCTATCAATTTTCTCGACACCTTGCTAGCAAAAATATAACAGGGTTTGTTAGCAGAGCATGATGACAGATTAATCTATTATCAGGTTTTGCTAGCAAGTCCTATTATTTCTGCTAGTAAGCTATCAACGAAATTTATAGCAAATACTGTGCTAAATCTGCTTCTACAGGTTTGGCTGACTTTATATTGGGCAACATTCGTTCAGTTGGTTGGTTCATCATTCAATGTATCTCCAATGAATATCAATATAATCAATATTGGACCAATGTATCACCAATGAATTGTGCTATTAGGGTAATTTGTCCTTTAACAATGATCGAAAAGTTAATAATTTTTAGCTGATTTAACAAGATAGAGCTAGTAACACTGATAACAATTTCAACAATGTCTTTCACTAAATTTAGATTAAACTACTTAATGAATAATAATAAAAATTGCCAACACTGGTTTCTGTAATTTGTTGCATGTAATTGAAAAGTTTATAAATTTCTATCTACGTTAGTAAGATAGATCCCATACATATTACAGACATTCAAGGACGTCCTAAAGACATCCTAAAGACACCCAGAGGACGTCCCTCGGATAAAATATACTGTGTGAGATTATGTATGTAACACTTCCGAGATAGAAATACGTGATGATTGTGTTTCACCACAATGTGATTGTTTCAACTTAATACCTTTTTAAAGATTATTATGCGATTAACATAACATAGCACAAGGTATATAAACGATATAAAAATATATGTGCACGTCTTGACTTGATTTTGCTATTAGATATTTTTCTAATATCATGATATCAGCGATATCTAACAAAAGCAGCATATCCGCACGCATTTGTGTACAGTTTTGAAATCATATTACATCAATATATGAATGCATGCTAAGCGCTACGTCATTGACATCATTTTGCTATCTGGGTTAATTGACAATAATTTTCAATCGTCGATTGGATTAATCAGAGTTTGGTGGAGCTCTTCCCCCATGTCGCGATATCTTTAGGATATCCCTATGACGTATTTTGGACGTTTCCGCTGTTGGTTGCTACTTTATATTTTTCATGCACCGTGCCGTTTACATAGATCGATCAATCACAGTTGAGAATTTCGACACGACGGTCCCGTACTTCCGGTGATTCTCGAATGTGATTGATAAATTCGCTCACTACTAAAGTTTCACTGCTTTAGGGTGACTTTCACCAAACCTCGTTTAAACCAATTGACGACTTAAAATCGCCGTCAGTCAAATGTTACCTGCTCTATCTTGCTAACACAGAGAGAAATGATTAAGTTTCTGATTATCGTTGAACGAGAAGTTACAGGATTAGATTGCTATTCCACACGCATCTACCGATGTCGGTTTGGGTGCGTTAAGTGTCGTTGCGCGAATATAATTTTATTATAAAATAGCTAGGCAAAGACGCATGCCGTCTCGATTGCCGAATCGATAATTCTTATCGTTATTCATCGATTAACTTAATTAGAGTTTAGTGAAAGTCATCCTTATGCTTTTCCATATACCGCCGTCCGTTTGAGCGGATCGATCGAGAATTTTGCCACGATAGTCCCATGTTTTCCATAATTTTCAAATATAATCGGCCGATTCGCTTATTGCTCAAGCTTCGTCGCTTTGTGTTTCTCCATGCGCCGCCTGTTTAAAAGAATCGATCAATCACAGCCGAGAATTACGACATCGCGTTCTCCGATAATTCTCGATTTGCTCATTTAATTTGTCGTTCTTCAAATTCCACCGTTCAGGCTTTATTCCACGTGCTATTGCAGGCTTTACAGCGGAACGAGCGAAGAGACGACAATGACAGAGTGCAGAAGGTGCAGACGAACGGAACCCGTTTCTCAGCCCGGTGGCCAATCACCGAGAGCCAATCGCGTGGCCCGCGATGTGTCGCTTTGCCCGTCGGACCTTCAGCGAGTCGAGCAGTGGCGAGGATCCAAATCGACGAGTGCACGTCAGGCGAATCTCCCTTTTCCCACCGGACGCGAGTGTCACTCTCCTTTATCTGGCGGGCCGACAGCGCGCTATCCACGACCTTGAGGCCGGCCAGCTGCGACAGAGTCCAACCGGGTAAGTGCACGTCTCTCGTTGTCGCATTCTCGCGTTCGTGATCTCCCTCGTGATAGACAAAAACCGTTCGTTCCACCTGCACTCTGTACACTTCCCTCTGTCTCTCTCTCTCCCTCTCTTCTTCTCTTTCCACCTACCGATACACCTATTTCTCTCTCCCTCCGGCGAATCTAAATATACGCGGTGTCCCGTTTCAAGTGCAGAGAGCGCGATCAAAACGAGCTGGTTGTACGATGAATGCTATGTAGCCAGACGCGTACACGTGTAGTACGCAAACGCGCGATTACTACGCGCGTTACCTTCACGTCTCACCGGCATATTTCGAATCCCATGGCTGTCTATCGCAGCCAAACAAGTATGCGAGCAACTATCTTGCTCTCGCGTGCTCGTCATACGTGACGTCACGAGCCCTCCCCCCCTCTTGACGTCAGAGCAGTATTGCTATAATAGCTCGAAAATCGAATCGGATCGAGGGAGCCTCCGAATGAGAATTTTAGATTGCGATTGCTCGCTGCCGGGCGAACGATGGACTTTGGGGATTGATAAACGCGCGTTCAAATGGTATACAGTAAAGACCGGAGAGAGGATGAGTATTGTGCATTGTATTGTGTAACAAGTGATTTCGGATTTTCCAGATCTGAAACGAAACGATTGTGTTCGAATGCCGTTGTGATTTTATGCAACGATGGCTCTGTTTACTCAGCTGAGCTTGGTCGCGTTTCTTGCTTTTTACGCTCGTTTCTACTAACGCCGATTTAAACCTTAACTCGAGAGTTCAAGGGTGATGTCTTATAAGTTAGCGGAACAAGGTCGGCAGAGTTGATTCTAATTAATATTTTAACTTGTGGCTCAATTGTTGCTTAAGAATCATCGAAAAAAATATTTTGTCGCTCTGTTCGTTTTTCTTTCTTTTTTTTATAATGTTCCACTAAAGGAAAATGAAATTAGCGGAACAATATACAAGGTGCCCCAAACCGTTCTCGGTTCCCGTGGGTGGCGCAGGTAGAACGGATGAAACTGAGCAGAAAAGTTATGTATCTGTATTTTGCAAAATTCGCAATTGTTAGTGAGGAATTAATTATTTTGTCCGAGCTAAATGAACACACGGGAAAGGGTGGACCGGATACTGTATAAAGAAAAATGGCTTACTTCTGAAGATCTCCTAGCAACGATGGGTGTCAACTGACAGAGAGAGGCGTATTTCTTTTACATAATTATAACATAAATATAAGATGTATTATTACATAAATATAATTCTTCCACTAAAAACCGAAAAAAATCCGAAATTATTACACGACTCTGGAATCGCACAATGGGAGAATGCGATAGCGTTTTCTCGACTAAAGCGAGTTTGAATCTCTCCAGCAGCAATTAATGACGACAAAACACTCCGTGATAAGCCAGGTATCGCTTATGACGTTATCAATTGCTCACGGAATAAGTCCGAACCTGTCTTGGTCGAAAAACGCTGGAAGAATCAAAGCTCGAGTCGCACACGAGTCGCCGACGGATCTCGTTGGCGCGATTGTCGCACGTATGTTAATTTCTCAGAAACGTACGAGCAATTTCGCTTTCTTCGCGTACGACATTCCAGGGCATATAGACGCGCGACCACTTCGTAATCGGCTCCGGCTGACTCATCTTCGCATATTACACGAATTACAGCGCGGTGACGAACTATTTCCGCGTTCAACGTTCATGCGCGCACGATAACGCGCCCATCGAAACCGAGACAAAGCCATTCAGGAAACCGCGGAAGAAAGAGTGAGATCCGCGAAATTATACGCAACCGATTGTCTCGGCCTGCCCGCTTGCCATTTTGTAGATTCGTCTCCATTTTGTACTCGAAAAACATAGCAGATGGGATTAACGACGCCGCGAAGAGCACTGTAAGAAATTATAGTTACTTTTAGCTTCAACTATATTAATAATACTGTTTTATGGTTTTGAGTTGGATGAGTTGGTCCGTCATTTTCTTAGGAATCCTTTTAAATTTTAGCTGCACATTGATGGAAATATTATCTACACATTTGTAAAATTAGGAAATTTACTATTTGGAAACTGAGATATTCACAATTAAAGATGACACTTTTTATATATATTCCTTGAGGTTAATGTCCCATTTTTTAATTTTATTTTTAATTTCTTCTAAATGACATTTAGAATTTTAATGAAAGAAACTACTATAATATTAAGGCTTCTGATCCCTCGCTGCAACTATCCCTGGTTTGGTGACGTCAGATACAAGGAAACGTATAACATATAACGCAAGAATTCTTAGCATGCGATTCTGATATTGCTTCTGATATCGTTAAACAAGGACAGTTGCATCGAGGGACCAGGAATCTTAAGAACTAATATAGAAATATTATACAAAAATTTTGAAATTACTGATCGTTTTACTTAAAAAATATAGCCATAAGAAATTAACAATTTATAGTAATATTCGTGTGTGTGTGTGTGTGTGTATGTGTAATATATATATTTAAATATTTATATATCTATATTTATATTATCTATTATGTGTACACCTCTCGATTGACGTATAAATAAAGCATTATTAGAAGAAAAATAAAAAAATAAATAATACCTCCGTGTTTGTAACATTGTGTGTATATACATATTTATCTTTATTTCGCGCGCACGCTCAAAATTAACATTTATTACTTAGATAAAGTTATAGGATTAAATAAAGTTATAGGAAAATATTTTTTCAGTAAATAATTTATGTAAGGAGTCCTTACTATTGAATCATTATTAAAAATCCGACATTTTACGGACCAACTACCTTAATTACAAACATAGTAGTAATAATACGCATATAATAAGGTTATTATCACCGACATTACGGTAACATTTGTTAGAAAAATGGTTCTTCTGACTATAATTTTTCTACTATGATGATTATTGTTACCAAATATTTTTGTCTCAGTGTACATTGAAAGAAATTGTACCCATATAGCATAAATGTTCAAAAGACTCCTAGAGACATCCCAGAGGTATCTAAAGATATTTTCGGTCTCAAATAATCTTTTTATAATTATAGTCACAAAAACAGTAATAGAGCAATATATATGTAAAGTTGTTACCACTAACTATATCTGTGTTCCAATATTCACTGCCAGCGCTGAAAATCTATAATTCATGCCACGTACATTATAGAATTTAAGCACTGGCAGTGAATACTGGAACGCAGCCTATACAGGTAATACTTATTAGAAAAGTGGTCCTCCTGACTATAATTATTCCATTATGATGATTAGAATCTCTGATTAGAATTTCATTATTACAGTTAGAAATACCAAATATTTTTCATTCATAGCGAATTGGATTACCTGCACTATACTAGATTGCATGCATATTGGAGGCTGCTACATACATGACATAGTTATTTAAATAAAGAAAGCACATAAACGATTTTGAACTATTAACACTTTGAAGCATTGGCCTTAAAGATGATTTATTAATGGGATCCTGGACAATTTTGATGTCCAGAAGAAGGGGGATAGATATCCGATGTTGAAACATTTGGGACGACCGAAACCCGAGAATAAGCCGACAGTAGAAACGTATGGAATTAAATAGCCAGGCCTGAGTTATACTCGGGCTTCAGCAGTTGTTGTCTGCGCGCTACCTATACTCGGGTTTAGGACGAAGAGTGTTAAAGACCTATCAACGATATTTTTTTTACCGCCGTATCAAGCAGAATATATATATATATATATATATATAAAATTTCATCATCAAAGTGCTTATGTTATGCTATTGTGTTTAGATACTTTGTATAGCGGCCTTTGGTATGCACTAGTCCGATGTAGTGTGAGCGATCAAATTCGCTACCAGTGTATCATAGAAGGATAAAGGGGAACGAGGTTTCAGTGCAGCGTCAGTTCAGCTGAAGAACGAACAGGTTTATTTTTTCTTCCGGGTATCTCCTATGTATCGAGAATGACATTCGATTATTGCCCGTAAGTTCGAAGTGGCCAAAGGTAGACGAGAAGAAGGGGCAGGAGGACGAGGAGGAAAGAGGAGTTCGAAGAAGCCAGCATACGGATACGGTCGACGCGGTTGAAACGAACGGACTTATCACGGCTTGCCGCGGGCGAAGCCGGAAAACGCGGCGGCGACGCGTTGCGGGAGGTGGATCACCGTCGTTTCCCGTTGTTTCGTACACGCCATTGCCCGTTAGTCCGTTCCGCTGGCAGGAGACCGGCCGTTTTCGACGCCGCATTCTCGCGTGAGTACGAGTAAAAAGGAACCACGGGAAAAAGAAAGAGAAAATACGAGGAGCCGCCGCCGGTCGCCTGACGCGCGCGGGTAACACGTGGTAATGTCGCACATCGTCTCTCTCTTTCTCTCTCCCCCTCCCTCCCTCCCTCCTTTCCCCTTTCTCTCTCCCCCTTTCTCTCTTATCGCGATCTGATTGCGGCAAATCAATTCTCAGGAGCTTTGCAGATTCGAATTGCGTCGATAAGTTGTGCGAATAGGCGTTGAAAAAAATGATCGTGACATGTGTGCAGGCGTACGCGTCGAAAGATTTACGCAGTTTGCGAAGACTAGAGAAGAACACTAGAGGATAAATTAGATTTTTTTTAACTATCAACTAAGAAGGTCGGATCCGACCAGGTCCATGTTCTAATGTTTCAGAGCATGCGTTTGTGAAGCGTTATTTTTCAGATATTTTACATATTTTGCGATATGTTATTATTTTTACCATAAATATTTAGATATAAATATTTATAGTAAAAATAATAACATTTATTTATAAGTGTTTTCTAACTTATTGTGAGAATAAAAGGCGCATAGTCGAAAAAATTAGTTGGAAAAACTACAAAATGCTTCTACGGGTCGAATCCGATTCATATCAACCTTGTTATTTGAAAGCTAATGATATTGTAATGTATAATGTATAGTAATATAGAGTATTAATACATACACAGTTATTATTACAATATGACTGTACTTTTTAAAACTTATTTTTTTTAGACACGTACGCATGC